GCGAGAATCGTGACGCGAAACCACTGGTAGTGTGACGAGGTACTCGTTACCGACTCCGCACCAGAGCTGCCGGGGGTTCGACTCTGACCCAGGAAACGGTGGTCAGCCCTAAGTCACCGCAGAACAGGGCTCCCCCCGCCCCCCCCGCTCCCCCAGCAGACATCTGCGGTCACCTTCATCAATGTAAAACAAAAACAGTCCGCATTGTGACTGCTACAGTCACCAGAGCCAGACCTATGGATCACATGGTCCAATATTTACGTCACCAACGATTCACAGAGGATAGATCATATGTATATATTCTGAACTTCTTTCACACTGTACATAGCCAGCCGTGCTAATGGCAGGTGTGGGGGGGAAGGACAAGACACCGTACACAAAGAGCAGTTATAAAGATATTACTTTACAACCGAGATTTATATTTGCTTCACTGCAGTACTTTAATTTGGTTTTGTTTTCGCCATTTTTGTGCGAACGAGACCGCCATCCCGGTCTCCCGAGTTCTCACTTCTCGCACGGTTCGACAAAACCAACTTCAAAGCTGAAAGAACTAAAACTCCGTATCCAGACGGGGAGTAAAAAAAAAGGTTCGAGCGAGTGACGGCTCGTTGGGTAGCACGGAGTCTCTGTTTGGAACTCATGTTCGTGCGTGGTATTTTGGCTTTATGGACAACGATCACACTACAGCTGGGTGGCTCAGTGGGTGCAATGCGTTGAGACTATTTAGATTATTTTGCTGCTATAAATGTCCAAATGTTGAGCTATCATTTGTGGCCAGGTCGCTTTTAAAAAATAAGTGAATACCTCAGTGGGCTTTGTCTGATATGATGGGGATTGTATAGTTTTATTTTGTATGTGTCTGGGTGATTTATTTACATTTCTTGAACTTTGCATTCCTATCGTGTTTTTTGTACTATGTGTTGTTGTAACGTTCTTACCTGCACCAACTGGACATCTGTGAAAAAGAGCTTCATAGCTCATCGGATTCCTGCTGCCGTATCAATTTCAGATTCTCATTCTGATTCTGTGTAAAGAGCACGGAGCCCCAAACGTGGCTAAGGGTCCTGCGTTCGAATCCTGGCAGCCACCCAGAATGACACAAGGTGAAGAGAACACATCATGGATACCAGATCACAGATGGGTTCGAGGCGTCCCAGGGGGCGCTACCGATATGACACTGTCATGGCATTGAGCCGGCACTGCTGACACCATGGGTTCGAATCCAAGTCCCGCTTACTTACTCTTTGGTTCTTTCGGTAAAGTCACGTAGATGAATTTTTTCTTTTAATCACGACGTTTCGATTGCAACACAAGCAATCATCATCAGGTGTGACAACCACAGCAAGAACATTTTTACTGAAGTGGGAGAGATGCCGGAGTTAAGGAGATTATATTTAAATCGTCATTTGACAAGTGCTGCGAGAGTCTGATGGTCTCAGACCGGTCCCCGAGGACGGACCAATGACACCTTCTTTGCATTGGGTGGCTGCCGTGAGGTAAAGGCCCATGTGCGTAACACCTAAAGGAGCACACCACGATGCAAGCTCCAGAGACCTAATAAGGACACGGAGGAGTTGAAGTGCATTCTGTGGTGACGCCTTTCCGGGCCGATCCCCGTCCTTGACGTCAGGATCGGCGTGCCGGAAGGGATGTGCCATGACTGACAGTGCAAGCGGCGACGACAAGAACAGACAAACACAGACTGATCAACACGTAGGCTTTCGCGACCAATATGACACGCGTTTCAGGTTGTAAATGTTGTGGCTTTGATCTCCAACACACCGGTGTGCTGTACTAGTAACGAAGTGGCATGCTCTGTTTACGTAACAAACCTTACTAATTGGCTGTGTCGTGTGGTGGCGGGTTTAACGGCACATTTATACTTACGCGATCTAACCCTAAACACCTGTATTATGAAACAGACTGACAACACCAACGACTGAGACTGTCCACCAACACCACGACATTGTCCACGTCACGATCTTCAAGACCTCCCCCACTGCCTCGCTCCTTTATTCCTCTACCCGCCCTTGCTTCCTTCTTGCTCCCCCTTCTAGCGCGCGCCCGCAACCAACGGCTTCTGGCAAGGCCCCATCGTTAACCTTTGCTGCGAGTGAGGTTACTCCTCCTCCTCCTCTGCCACCACTGTGATCTGGGGAATTCCCCTCTCGCTGACCGTTCGTGCTGTCAATTCCCTGGCCCCTGCTTAAGAGTGCAGCCTCAACACCTTCTTCCTCTGTTCCTCTGCTAATGACTGTCTTTTCTTTAAGCAACAAACACAACATCCTGGCATTTACACAAACACGCCTCCCTTTCCTCCCATCGTGATACGTGGGCACCACCGTCCTGCATCGTGTCCTTATGTGTGAATCAATTTAAAATGCTGCATACATACGAACTGAACAATAAGAGCAGACTAGCAGCCCTGACCCACACACCCATCCCTGTATGTGCGTATGTATGTTGAACTTCTTTTGCACCGTACGTAGCCAACTGTGCTAATCGGAGGTGCGCGGGAAGGACAACCCTCCCTCCAGACAGGCAGCCAGCCAGCCAGCAAAACTTGGCACTGCCCGCGCATGCGTGCAGGGGTGGAGGGTTTACTGCAGCGATGTCACCGCCCTGCACGCGCACTTGGCCGCATGCCACCCAAGAATCCAGCCAGGAATTCAGGCAGGAATCCAGGCAGGAAACTTTATTTCCCAACACGGTACGACTTGTTGATGTTGCCACGGATTTGGGATGCAGCCAGAGGCGGTGGCGGCGAGGTGTGGTGGGATCCGACGATGCAGCGCTGGCCACCGTGACCCCCCTCGTCCTCGATGATAATTGAAACGTAATTTATTTGCTAATTATTGAATTGGGGTCGAAATAGGGAGCATTTGCAGAGTCTAGAGTAGTTTGCAACCAAATTCGTACCTTTGTTTGCAATTACTGGAAAGCACACGTTGGCCCGATGCTCATTTCTGTCTTTCAACTTTTAAATTACTTAAAGTAATTACTTTAACGCTCCGAGACAAAACTGCTGCCTTTGTTTTCGCGATCGTTATCGATTTGTGTACATTGCTATTTTCCCTTGCAGAAGAGACGGTTGGCTTGCGACCAGCACGAGCCGTTCGTCTACAAATATCCCCGTCGGGTGGCTCAGCGGTGGAGTGGCACCCCGCTAGTGGCTCACTGCAAGAGGGATTCCCCCCCCCCCTCTCGCACGGAGCCCTTCCTGCGCGGAGTTTGGCTGCTGGGATTACAAGCAGCCAGCCACGGCGCAGAGTAGCCGCCGGCACGCTTGCTCGCGAGAAGGACCGTCACCCGAAACGTCGGCTTTGTATCGGCTGTTTGCTCATCGGCGGGCCGAGGGCGGTGAAGTGAGTTACGTCAGCGGTGACGTGGCCGCAGGCTGCCTCCGCATACAAAGAGCCGCGTCCGCTTCCTGACGTGCCGGCCGCGCTCGTTGTGATATTGTGTTGGATGGCGTAGATGTCGGTGCGAGATTCGCGCATAAACACATCCGGAAAGGTCACGTGCGATCGAGTAAGATGGATGGGTAAGGGCTGCGGGTAAGAAGATTACGAAACTTTTTGTTTTTTCGAAGCTGCTCATATCGCGGCGTTGAATTAAAACTCGACGCTGATTATAAATTCAGCTGCTGCATTCCAAAAAAGGCATATCTACTTAACTATTTTTTAAAGTTTTCACAGATGCCCCAATTAAAAAGTTTTTTTTTTGCAAAAAAAACCCCATATCCTTACATTTAACTCGTTGTTAAGTGCATCAGATGTCTATGTATTATACTGGTCCCCACCATACCAATGTGGAATTTCCAACATTGGGTTAGTGTTGTAGACAGGCACCATGTGATGCTCAATTAAGCAAAGGGGCACTTTGACTTGCTGCGCATGCGGCATGCTTGTATGACGTGATAGTGATGCAGGTCATAACATAGCGCTACCAACCCGGCAACCTGGGTTCAATTCACGACCGTGGATACAATCAGTGCCACGTGGCATCTGTCGGAATCTAAGGCCTCTTTCATGTCAACAACTGAGCCTGGAAATGAGTAGCTGCTGCAGTGGGTAAACGCCAGGGTTGGTGAGACAAAGGCATTGGGAGGGGGAACAAACCACATCACTCTCTGCTGTGTCGTGCCAGCCTTAACCAGCGGTCACTACAGCACTTGCCCCTAACATCCGTTCAGGACAAATGGGGCATTCACCATATCGCTTGTGTGCCACCCTGCCTTAGACTGTCGACCTATATAAACACGTGGGTCTGTCTCATAACCTTCCGCTTTGAGAGTCTTCATCATGCCACAAGGGTTCAGTTGTGCACTTTGCCGGGCGCAGCAGGAACCGTGGTGACATCAGCTCGACTTAGCGGTGAATGGCACGGACGCTGTTGTCGTGCCTGTGCGTGTACAGAATTTTACATTGCGTGCATATGCCGAACATCGAGGCTCGATTTGGTGCCCTGTACAACACCGGCGGCAACAGTGATTTGAAGATGCCATACGACTCGTAATGCGGTTGGTGTTCGCGGTGGTGGTGGTGGTGGTGATCATAAAACATGCCAATTGCGAGGACGCTGAGAATGATGGTTTGAAGTCTGCTGACGCTGCTGAAAATGATGGTGATGATGACAATTCTGTTTATGATCACGACAATGAGATGAGGGTAAGGATGACGCCACTGATGCTGCTGCTCACGCGGCTAGTGATTGTGAATGATGGATGTTAGAAATGTTGTTTTTGCTGCTCCTAAAAATAATGATGGCAATGCGGTTGCTTCTGCTAATGATGACGCTGATGATCATGCTGTTGCCAATGAATGATTATCCTGATGTCGTCTCTGCTGCTGCTGCTGCAGACGATGACGACGATCATGCTGTTGCCGAATGATTGTCCCGACGCTGTTCCTGCTGGTGCCGCTGCTGCTGCCGCTGACGACGGCGGTCAAGTTTAAGGACAGTCGTCCGGGGAGGGGAGATGACCGTGTGTAGCGTACCTCCAGGCCGGACAGGTAGTAGGCGGAGATGAGTCCCCCGACAAAGCGGATGTTCACCTCGAAGACCGACACCTCCGTGTTCTGTGACCACAGAGACACCACGAAAGCACGGCTCAAGATAGGCACAATAAAACAAAAACATCCCCAGCTCAACACATCACCATGGCCGTCTCATCACCTTATCATCATCATCGTCGTTGTTATTATTTTACATGACGACGCTCGTTTACCCGCGGAAACCTCACGAAGCCTCGAGACTCTTTAATGAAAGGAGAGTCCTGCCACGTTTTCGTTGGAAGGGGGCGATTTGGCAACGTGTAATCCCAATTGGGTAATTTTCACGGCCAATACCATTTGCGTGGTGTTTTTAAATTTTTCAGCTATGGGAAGAAACCAGAGAACACTGATAAAAACCCGCGCAGAAGAAAAAAGGCACCCGAGTTAGGAATCGAACCCAACTGCTCTTGCTGCGAGGCACGAGTTGCCACCACAGTGCCACGCGTAAAACCCGGGTGCCCTTAGGGAGGCATCAGACAAGAGCAACGTGCCGGGTGCTCACCCTGGACGCTGCTCGTCACCGTTAAGACAATCGCGATTCAACAGCACTCGGTGAGATCCATCGTCCCGTGACCACGGCCACGGCATTGTTGCTGATGTGCGTGGTTAATACCGCAGGTGTATTAACCGCGGAAAAAATATATACGCACCGGCCGCCTCGCAGCGTCTGTTAAAGATGCTGCGACGTCGTTTGACGGGTAGGCCATTGTGTGCTGGCGTCGTGGACCAAATTTGATAGATTACTCAATTGGGAAACAATGACTAAATAATAATAATGATCACATCTCATTAAAAGGGTGATATGATTTGCATAGACGGCAGCCATTTATTCACAATTTTAGATGTGGGTCATTACCGTTTGGGAATGTGTGCCACATACGTATCAATGTCTACATGTAAAAAGTAAACATGACAAACGCATTTATACTTCGCCAGAATGTAAATCGTTTGTAGAGTGAAGTGCAGCGGAGTTACATGAACCGGTCCGGGTGCTGGCCTGGCCATTCATCGACTCACAGTCGCCATTCCCAATCTCAGCCAGTCCATTTTTTGAACTCAACTAATTTTTTTTATCAAATAAGGCCCACTTGAATTTTAAAATGTATAACTCCAGTGGCTTCCTAATATCGGAAGCAGGAGCGTTCCAGACGGCCGCAGATTCGCATGTGAAAGCGCGTGATGCAGTTTAGTTTGTGGGAGTGCTGGCTTTAGGCCATTTAGCAGCAGGGGATTTGTAACCCATTGTGTGCAGTTCCCCTATCTCGGTGGCAGTGGCGTAGGTGGGGGGGTGATGAAGATGACCTCAAAATGCGTGACAGGTGTTCGCGATGGCCAGGCTATATTCCAGGGGTGGCAGTGGCTAGTCGTGAGGTCGTATCCACGGATGCGGCAATGTACAGTCAACCCAGCCGTGCATATATCCAAAAGTTACGAACGCAACAAAGTTTTCGACATGCATGTTCGGATCAATATGTGGATACCAAGCACTTGATCTGCCTGGGGTTTTTTGTTGTTGTTGTTGTTGTTTAAAACGGTAGAGGTTCCGCATACTACTCACGCCTCCTTTCTGCCACTTATCGTGGTTTACCGCAGTAAAAAATTATGAAGCGTTATCTTTCCCGTGGTGCATTTGCATACAGAGTGTTAATAAATGATGCCGAGCAGGAGATGGACGGGTGAGGGGCTGACTCTGTGAGAGCAAGATGTAGCTACAGCTACGTAACATAAATGTATGTATGTAGTTGAAATTCGTTTGCACCGTACGGAGCCAACCGTTCTAATCGGAGGTGCGGGGGGGGGGGACAACAAACTAAAAACAAAAAAGCAGTTTAAAAAAATTAGTTTTCAATCTAGATGAAAAAAAAATACTGCAAAATCAATACCAAGGGCCCGTCTGTGCAAACTTACTTGGGTCGGTGCTCATCTCAATTATTGGTTATGAGCCGTTTGTGGGAATTCCACATTCCTATGGCGGGGAGGGGTGGGTGGGCGACTGTTCTCAATTTTTGTAATTGTTTAAATAGTTTTCATTGCGACTCATCGCAATCCCGGTACCAAGCCCTGGTCCACAGCAGAGGGTGTGTGGTGGGGGAGAACAGGAACTCCGGGAGCAAAATCCTCCCGAGATCGGTGCGCCAGAGGCTTAACGAAGCGGTTGGGGTTTGGGAAGGGGGGTGGGGATTGGGCTCACCGCCCCCTCCCAAACGGGGACTGTGACAGCTTCCACGGGGAGGCAGGGGGAAGGACGAGAGGAAAGATTTCTCGCGTAATTGTTGGGGAAGTCACGTGGTGTGCGTACTGCATCATCGGGTTTGCGGTATGACCGTATTGCGTGAACGTCATTGTCTCTGAACATGTCTGCTGTCGTTATTCTTTGAATCTAGAACAATGATGGGGGTAAAGAGGGGCAGGGCAGGGAAGGGGAAAAAAAAAGCGGGGGGGGGGAGCGGGGGGATTAGGAACCACGGATGTACCATGGGCTGTGTTGATGCCCGAGCAGGTTCTGAACCCACGGTATTCTGCATTATAACCCACGGTGCCATCCAATCTTAATCTTTGCACCGTACGTACAAAAAGACAAAGACACACACACACAGATTTCCAATTCAGCCCGAGACTTGAGGCACGGAGCTGTTATCAGGACAGAACAAAAAAAAACCCACCGTGCAATAGAACTGGTATAGACCAAAACATCCTGAACTGCAGAAAACACAATTGGGGTGACACACACACACAGCTGCAGTAGCAACATCACCCCTGACTGAGAAAATCTTGACAGGACCATCCTGAAAAAGAGTCTTGAGACTCGGTGAGCAAACCTGTCAACCCATCACATTTACCCAAATTATTGTACGGGGAAATTGGGTCTTCAGGTCCAATTTTTTTGGTCTATTTGTTTGTGTTTCTCCATTGTGATGGTACTTTGTAGGATGAACGTTGAGATTTATAAGGACACGGGGTGACCAATAAGACCTGAATTAATCTGTAAATAAGGTAGGGCACTGATAAGGGGTTGACAGGTATGGTTGATGGTTTTCTCCGGTCATGGAAGCATCAATAAAAAAAATTGTGGCATGTACCATCCTAAGGGCGCCATGGCATGCGCGTATAGGGTGTGGGGGGGGGGGATCGTATGATGCCAGACCACCTTTGCCTCCCCAGCAACCGATCAGGGCCACGCCACCGCACCGTGAGCTCGTGGTTAGGGTGCACAGCACCAGGAAAGGGCCACGGGCTCGGGTGGAGGAAACGTCACTGATGGCGAGGATGTGCCAGCAAAGGCTGAGGGGGCACCAGGATCAGTGGTGAAGTGTGTGGCCACTGCCCCCCTGCTGCCTGTGTTATGAACAATAAGCGTGCGTGTCGCCGTTTGTCTTTGTCACTGTTCGTGTGTGTCGCTGTGCTGTAGCGCTATGTTGCGCTACGGACCCGGTGACCCGAGTTCGATTCTCGCTCACGGCTACCAACACCGGTGACGATTATCTGAACCGGTCCAGGGCCTCCCCTAGGTCGACTCAGCCTCAAATCAGTACCTGGTGCGGTGTGTAAACATCGCTACTGGGGAGACAAAGGCGGCCGGGCGTACTGCTGGCCACCCACACCTTCATGTGCCATTCTGGCCTCCATAGGTGCTCACCAACAGCACTTGCCCCTATAGTCTGTTAAGGGCTATACAGAGGATCTTTGTCTTTGTATATGCTTATATATATATAGCACCAACCCGCTCGCATGTATCTGCTTGCACACTGTGTTTATACATGCAGAATTCTCTATTAATAGGCACCGTCCCACTTCGCTGTACAGCGCTGGGACACACAGAGGCACTGCCTGGGCACGTTCGGCTCGGCACGGCGGGGGGCGCGGGGAAACTGGGCCAGCGTATGGCGCTGCTCACCGCACCACTCACTCCACAACACTCACTACACTACTCACTACACCACCCTCCTCACCACATCACCGCACCACCCCACTCACTACACCGCACCACTCACTACACAACACCGCACCACCCCACTCACTACACACTGCACCACCCCACTCACTACACTATACTGCACCACTCACTCCACAACACCGCACCACCCCACTCACTACACCGCACCACTCACTACACAACACCGCACCACCCCACTCACTACACACTGTATCACCCCACACACTACACACTGCACCACCCCACTCACTACACTACACCGCACCACTCACTCCACACCACCGCACCAACCCACACACTACACCGCACTACTCACTACACAACACTGCACCACCCCACACACTACACACTGCACCACTCACTCCACAACACCGCACCACCCCACTCACTACACACTGCACCACTCACTCCACAACACCGCACCACCCCACTCACTACACACTGCACCACTCACTCCACAACACCGCACCACCCCACACACTACACCACACTACTCACTGCACCACCCCACTCACTACACCGCACTACTCACCACCCCACCGCGCAACCCCACTCACCACACCACTCGCTACATCACACTGCACCACCCCACTCACTACACACTGCACCACCCCACTCACTACACTACACTGCACCACTCACTCCACAACACCGCAGCACCCCACTCACTACACACTGCACCACTCACTCCACAACACCGCACCACCCCACACACTACACTACTCACTACACCGCACCACTCACTCCACAACATCTAACCACCCCACACACTACACTGCACCACCCCACTCACTAATCACTGCACCACCCACTCACAACACCGCACCACCCCACTCACGACACCGCACCACTCACTCCACAACACCGCACCACCCCACACGCTACACCACACTACTCACTGCACCACCCCACTCACTACACCGCACTACTCACCACCCCACCGCGCAACCCCACTCACCACACCACTCGCTACATCACACGGCACCACGTTCCACTCGTGTGAGCACCGTCATGATATGAAGTGCTCCTGCACTCTGCGTAAGGGGAGGCTGCCTGCGTTTTTTTAATACTGCGTGGATTTTCACAACCA